GGCTCTTTGAGGGCTCTGCCCCGAGGTCTGTCCACCCGAGGGGACCCAAGTGCCCAGAGCAGTTTCCCAGCAGGACAGTGGTCATCCTGCTACTCCCAGCAGAGCCTGTGGGACTTCCGTGTTTATTTTCTTCCAGAGCCATGGAGAGACTTGGGCACAAAGGGCCAGCTCAGAGCCAGCAATGCTGGGAGGTGCCAGAAAAGTGTCTCCCCGCATTCCCTGCCACACTCCGTGCAGGGGGATGACAGCTCTGTGTGAAGAACCTCTCCACCAACCCCCATCAGGCTCTTTTGCTCTGCCCTCCCCAGGGCCGTGAGTCTGAGCAAACTCTGGGAGATGGTAAAGAGCAGGGAAACCTGGTGGGCTGCAGTCCATGGGGCCCCAAAAAGTTGGACACAACTGAGCGACTGAACAGCAACTACCCCAGAGCCTCCCTAGCCTCTGCACCCACTTCCTTGTTGGAACCTTCTAAGTCACGCTTTTCCTTCTGGCCAGGCCAGGCCAGGCCAGGCCAAGACAGTGGCTCCCAGAGTCCTGGTGGGGGGTGTCCGGATCCTGGCTAGGAGCTGCCAGAGCTGAGCTGCCGACATCGCATCGTCCGCTGGAGCTTCCCGGCCCAGGAGGCTGGAGGGGAGGAATGTCTGGGCCCTTCTGCAGGTGGGAAAGGTGACATCACACACAGGAGATCTCAGAGACAGTGGGGCCCCAGAGTCTGGAGGTATTTCTCTCCCCAAATACCAGGGCCTCCCACCTCTCAGAGGGCCTCCTGGTCTCATGGTGGGCTGTGAGAAGCTGGGACCCAGGGGACTGCTGCATTGTTAGAAGTTTGGGCCTCAGGGGGGCCATGAGGGAGATGGGGCTGGGTTACAGCTGGACCTCTCATGGCCGAAGACACGGCCCCCCAGGGCCCAGGTCTGGTCCATAGCAGGAGGCCCTCCGTTTATGAAGAGAAGTGTGTTATGGAATGTTAATAAATGGAATTGTAGTATAACAGCCCCACTCAAAGGGAGTGAGAGCAAAGTGACTGGGGTGCCCACAAGCTGCTTCCAGCCTTCCTTAGGTGTCAAGGGACATTGTCACCTCCTGGCTTTGCTGGAGATGAGGGGTATCTGTATATAGATTCTTCTCACATAGACTTCTGGGCTCTTATTAATAAGCCCCTACCTTCCACTTTGGAAGTCCTTTCCAGAAAGTCAGAGAAATCCAGAGGTGCAGTAGTGGGAGGGAACTCAGGGAGGGGACCCACCCACCTCCCCCCCCAATCAGGAGCCCTGAAATAACCTTCATTCTCCCCGTCCCACCCCCCACCCCTCTGCCACCAGTCCTGCAACTGTTCTCATCCTTCTGTGCTGCCTGGCACTTGGGCTGCAGAATTTGTATACTTGTGACCCAGCTCTTTTTTGTCCCCTATCAAACTGACATGTCTCCTGAGGCATGGGTTGTCCGCCCCGTCAGAGGGTCTCTTGGTGGGGGCTGGACCGAGCCCTGCAGTCAGGCCTGGAAACTTCTGTCCCCTTGGTCCCTCCCGACCATCAGTTTGGCCCGAGGAGAAGAAAGCTCACCTCTCCAAGCCGTCTTGCCCCAGGAGCAGGACGGTGGGCACAGGACTCCATTCCTGACCTCTTGCCAGACCAGAGAGCCCTGTCCCCCTGGAAACATGGTGGGATGGGCTCGCATCTGGTGCCTCCCCATGCCCACCTCCAAGCTGGTTCTCTTGGGAGATGGGGAGGAGCCTGGGTCAGGGCATCCGGGCCATTTCCCAGGGCCCAAGTCTTCTTTGCGGGGTTGGCACACCCTGTCCTGCCCCGCGGGAGCGTCCAGGAGCCAGGGTTCAGTGCTTGTCACTCTCCTGCACTTGGCTAAGCCAAGGGACAGAATTAGCTCTTTGCTTCAACTCTCAAGGCTCTCCAAGTGGCCACTGGGGGAGGGAGGAGGACGCCGCCTCCTGGGAACCTGCCCAAAGGCTTTTTCCCTGGTTCCTCTGGGAAAAGATCCAGAAAAAGAAAGTATCCCAGCTGAAAGGGAGGGGGTAGGGTGGGACTGGGCCTGGCTGTCAGGAGCCCTTGGGGCTCTGGGAAGATGCGAAGCCAAGACAGCGATTTTATTCTCAGTGGGCCTTGGGGAGGGCCGGTTGGGCCTCCTCACCCCCAGATCCACTCAGACCCCTGGGGTCCTCCCTGCATTCCTGGCCTGCAGGCCAAGTGCAATTTCACGGAAACTTCAGGAGTTGAATACTCTCCGAAATGCTGAGTCCAGAAATGAGCCTGCCACTCAAGTTTGGTCAGAAAAGTCGAGGCTCAACAGACTGAACTCCCACTCCTTCCTCGTCTATCCCTAACCACTGAGATGTGTCACCCTCAGCCTATCTCATGGGACAGCCAGTGACCAGCACCTGGTCTGTGGCACCAGAACTGTTGCGGGGGGGGCAGGCCACACCCAGCAGACCAACCCACATTGTATTCACATACCAAAGGGGGGCTACAGTGCAGGCATGGGCCTTCCAGGCCTGACCTTTGCAGGCCGGATCCCTTCATCAGCTTTCCCCCAAAACACACTTCAGTGACACAGATCCTCGAGGACCAAAATGAAAGTGGTGACCCCCAAACTTGCTATGGTAAGCCAGGGGGTCAGGTAGACCTGGGTTCAAATTCTGGCTCTGGTGTTCACAAGCCCCACAAACTTGGGCACGTTATTTCCCTGCTCTGAGCCTGTTTTCTCATCACTGAAGTGGTCTTTCTAATACCACCCTCTTGAAAGGTCAGTGCCTCTTTGGGGCTCTGCTCAGAACTTGGTGTGTAACACCTAGAGACCCCCTGTCCCAGGGCAGGATCTGTCTGCCTCTCTCCACCCTCTGCCTGAGTGTGTGCATGCTAAATTACTCTAGTCGTGTCCGACTCTTTGAGACCCCATGGACTGTAGGCTCCTCTGTCCATGGGATTCTCTAGGCAAGAAAACTAGAATGAGTTGCCATGCCCTCCTCCAGGGGATCTTTCCGGCCCAGGAATTGAACCCATGTCTTTTACGTGTTGTGTCTTTTGCTTGGCAGCCGGGTTCTTTACCACTAATGCCATCTGGGAAGCCCATCATTTGCCTACATTTCCATTTTTTCCTTAAGTTCCTACAGACAGCTCCTTCCACAGTGTGGCGGATTGCAGTACAGTTCAAAATCACTGACCATTCCTCCACGGGGATTGTATACTCAGCAGTATCCACAGCGTGCTTGACCATATGACCTGCTCTGGCCAATGGAATATGAGCAGAAGTGATGCACATTGTTTCCAGGCAGAAAACTTCAGAGCCAGTGCATGTGTTCCCAGGTGTGTCTACTTTTGCCCCAAAATAACATCACCCCAGAAGGAGACTCCTCTCTCAGCTGGGGCCCCAGAGTGAAAAGGACACACAGCAGAGCTGCAGCCACCCTCTGTGGACAGAGGCAATGTAATACAAGCTCTGTTGTTGGAAGCCATGGACATCTGGGGGTCATATTTTGTCTGATACACATTGTGACTCTTGAAAGTCTTTAAAGGGGTTCCGGAGAGTTGATTTTTGTCTTGACAACTGTTAGATACAATGGATAAATAACACTTAAGATGTTAAACTTTACAGCTTGGCTGCTATTCGGTTGGTGCTCAATAGACAGTGGATGTGATTGTGACTTGGCATCTTTGCACACAGACTAGACTGATGACTGTTGAGCCACAAGACTGCTCTTCCTCTCATGTGAGTTGTGTGAAGGTGCAGGCTTTGTGTGATGCTCCAGCAAGCTTCTCCATTGAATTTGTGCCTGTGATTTTCTCTGTCATCTTCTGGAACCACTGCCTGCTCCTGTCCCCCACTCTGCCAACCACCTGCAAGAGCTGTGTAGATGGAGGTGCCTTAGATGAGAGTCCATTGTCCACCGGTCCCCTGGCAGTAACAGAGAACACACACAGGAGGAGCCTTGGGGCATCTCTCCCCACATTTCCTTGGCTGTCATTTTCCCCATTGCCTGAATCCACATCAACCCCCTCTGCCATCCCAGACTTCTCATTCTCCTTTGCTATTTCACTTCTATCCGCTGCGATCAGATGTGACCTGGGGGCCCACAGCACCCTCTTAGCGCTGGCCTTGTGCTGGTGGTCTTCAGAGTTTTGGCTTCTCAGCAGCATTCCCCTCTCAGCACATGCTAAGTAGACAGTAGGGGCTTGATAAAATCTGGTTCTTCTCTCCTGAGTTAGTGGCTTGGGGGCTGGTGGGGCCATGGCAGGGCAGAGGGCAGGTCTCTGTAGACTAGTTCCTGATGGTTTTCCACAGATGCAGGTGGGAAGGCAAAGTGCCCCCCAACCTGCGACTGTTGGGAGGGGCCTGAAAGAGCTGGCAAGAAACCAGTAAACCCCTGCCCCCACAGGCCTGGATTCCAATTTCTCTCCTGATTTCTACCTCCTTCTTATCTACTCCACCCCTGGTAGCTGGGGACCTTGAGCAGACCAATTCTCTCTGAAAGGATGGGATGTTATGGTTGGGATTGGTCCCCTCTCCACTGCCCACCAAGGACCAGAGGTCAAGGATTTCAAGAAAAACACTCACAAAAGCTTTCTCTCTTTATTTTATATATTCCTGCCGTTCAATCAGTTTGCACAAGCTGAGGATGAGTGAATTTTGGAGGCGAAGGAGGAGCATGTGGGCACAGACCATCCCGGAAATAGTCTATGCACATTGCCAAGGCTGGTTAGACTTGAGAAGCGATTTAACAATAAACTCTACAGAATCAGAAATGTACAAAAGTGTCAAGGCAGCTGCTGGCTGATTTCTTGCCTCCCCATCGGGGTCAGAGTTACGCCCATCAGTCCTGTGCAAAGGTCCTGGGGCTGGCTAGGGGGGCAGCCGGATTCTTCCCCAGGATAGAAGCAGTCCTGCTCACCCAGCAGAAGTGTGCCGAGGGACAGGCATGTAGGTGTATGCCCAGGTGCCCATGCCCCCTCAGGTTCCGTGGCTTTTGAGCCTGTGTCTCCATCCTGTCTTTATGTCCGCCCTTTGAAAGTGTTCATGCAGGTGTAGGTTCCTGAGAATTTGTGGATCTCCTCGAGGGCAGCCTGTGGGAGTATGCTGAGGGAGGGAGAAAGGAGAAAAGAAGATGGTCAACGGGGGACTAGCGGACGGTAGCCAAACAAGATAGGTAGTTGAGTAGTGGTTCCCATAAGCTCTCCCCACCCCTTCTCTCCAACAACACCAGCTCCTCCCATAAGCCAACCCACCCACCCCTCCATGGAGGAAGGGCTTTCAAGTAAGTAGACAAATGAGAGTGAAGTGAAAGGGAAGGTGTTAGTTGCTCAGTTGTGTCCGAATCTTTGCGGCCTGGGGGACAGTAGCCCAGCAGGCTCCTCTGTCCATGGGGATTCTTTAGGCAAGAACACTGGAGTAATTGCCATGCCCTCCTACAGAGGATCTTCCTGACCCAGGGACTGAATCCAGGTCTCTTGCATTGCAGGGAGATTTTTTACCATCTGAGTCACGAGGGAAGCCCAGTATAAATAGTTTTTTACAAGGTAAAGGGTAGGTATAAACAAACTTTCAAAGCCACATTCTGAGCATTTTAGGGTCTATAATTATCTCAGAAATCTATGAACTCCAGATGCCACTTATTCAACAAATATTTACTGTGTGGGGCTAATGAGTTAGGTACTGGGTATTACCTTCTTGTTTTCCCCTACTCCATGTATTAACTTATTTATTAAGCTGCCACAGTGTTTTCCTGATACATTTTACTACCAAAGTCTGTCCTATCTACCATTTCAGTATTCTCAGCCAAGTTTGCTCCACTCCAGAATGGTGTCTTCCTTTAGCTGGGAACTTCCTTTTATTTCTCACCCTTTATTTCCCTCCAGATAGTAAAACACCTGCATATACTGGGCTGGCAAAAAAGTCCATTCGGGCCCCTTACGACCAACTTGAATGAACTTTTTGGCCAACGTGATACCTTCAGGCCTTGACCTTCAGCGTGACACAATTTCCTGCTTTGTGGGAAATTTCCCAGACTCACCCGTAGGCCTTTCCTGGGGCTCCCTATAGCCCTGTGCTTCTCCAACAGGGCCTGGAGTTGTGCTTGTTATTTCTTTGTTGGGCCCCTGGGTGTCTCTGTGGTAGATATTTCATCTCTGATCCTGGCACCTGGCACAGAGGACCCAGCTTAGAGACACCCTCAGTTCATCTGCTGAATCAAGTCTGAAGGGCTCCAGCCCATCCTAGGTGCAAGATGGGAAAGCCTCATTCCAGCTGGAGCAATTGGGAAGGCTTCCTGGGGGTGGTGGCAACAGAGTTGAGCCTGTGAGGATTTCTCTTGGGGAAGGTGAGAGGGGCGTGCAAGTGCAGGGAATGGGGAAGGGCTGGCCTCTGCTTCTTGTGGGAAAATAGTGGGGGACAGAACAGGAAGTGTAGGCTGGGGGCTTACTGTGGACAGTGCTGAGGTGTTCTAGACAAATTAGCTTTTTTCTAGAATGTCCCCAAAAGCTTCTAAGAAGCTCCCTGAGGTGGACAGTTAGCTTGGCTTTGGTGAGTATCCGAGTCCCTGGACTCCTAAGGCTCATGGAACAGCCAAGGAGCAGCTCAGAGCAATAGTCAGCATGCACTGAGGGAGGCTGAGGGGGGGCTTGCCTGCCTGGCGCCCCCCCGCCCCCGCCCCTCCCTCACTCTGTGTCCTGGACGGGCTTTGAATTTGGAGAAGGGATGGACTAATGTGTCCTCCTGGTCCTGAGGTTACAGCAGCTACTTAGGTGCCCACAGTAGCCAGAGGGGAACCTGGTTTCCTGGGGTTGGACATCTGATAAAGGCACTTGGGTGTTTCACTTCCCAAAAATGCCTTTCAGGAAATGATATAAATGAATTTACTTACAAAACAGATACAGACTTCCAGAACAAAGGGATAGTTAGGAAATTTGGGATGGACATGTACACACTGCTATATTTAAAATGGATAACCAAAAAATAAATAAATAAATAAATAAATAAAATGGATAACCAACAAGGTCTTATTGTACAGCAGAGGGAACTCTGCTTAATGCTATGAGGCAGCCTGGATGGGAGGGGAGTTTGGATACATGTATATATATGGCTGAGTCCCTTTGATGTCCACCTGAAACTATCACAACATTGTTCATAGGCTACGCATGTGTGCGTGCTAAGTTGCTTCAGTTGTGTCTGACTCTTTGTGAGACTATGGTCTATAGAACACCAGGCTCCTCTGTCCATGGGATTCTTCAGGCAAGAATACTAGAGTACGCTGCCAAGCACCCCTCCAGGGGAATCTTCCTGACCCAGGAATTGAACCTGCATCTTTCACATCTCCTGCACTGGCAGGTGGGTTCTTTACCACTAGTGCCACCTGGGAAGTCTGTTCATCGGCTATACTCCAATATAAAATAAAAAGTTAAAAAAAAAGAAAAGGCCTTTCAGGTCAGAGGGGTTCAGTCAGCTGGGGGTTGGGGACCCAGAGGAGCCAAGAGTCCATGGTCACTCGGGGCTCCAGGGTGGATGTTCTCTCTGCAGCAGGAGAGGCTCATGAAAACTGTGCTGAATGGGGCATGTGGAATGGCCTGTTTAGTGTGGGACTAGGACACTAAGAGTTTTCTGCCCAGAGTCTGGAAAGTTCTAGAATGTGATGCTGGGCAAATTCTGGAGGAGCAAGTTCTCCTCTGTAAAGCCCACCTCCCAAGGTGGTCTCCCTGGTGAATCCCACCTGGCAAGCACTGTGATGTTTCTATGAATCTCAAGCCTTAGGCAAGGAGATTCCTGTCTTCCCCATTAGGTTAAAGGTTGGGGCCAAGATTTAGTCTCTAGACTGGCAGTTCTCAAAGTGTTGCCCAGGAACCCTTGGGAATACCAGAGATCTCTTCAGAGGTCTGTCTGCAAGTGCAAACTACTTTTATTATAGTATTGCGGTAGGATTCGACTTTTTTTTTTATTTTTATTTTTTTTTTTATTAGTTGGAGGCTAATTACTTTACAATATTGTAGTGGGTTTTGTCATACATTGACATGAATCAGCCATGGATTTACATGTGTTCCCCATCCCGATCCCCCCTCCCGGATTCGACTTTTTTAACGCTCATTCTCATGAGTATACGGTGGAGTTTTCTGGAGGCTACATGACATGTGACATTACAAAAGATGAAAATCAGAAGCAGATACAAGTATCCATTTGTCTTCAATTAAGTCAGATAATAAAGAGTTTTGCAAAAATGTAAAACAACACCATTCTTTTTACTATATTCTTTTTTTTGAAAAATGCTTACTTTTCACAAAAATACCATTTATATTAACACCAAATGGATTTTTTTATTGCTATATATAAATGAATACACGTATAAATCCCATACTTTCCCCCCTCAGTTTTAATTCCTAAAACAACAGATACAACTCACATAAATAAAAGAACTCTAGGTTCTTCAACAATTTTTAAATTTGTAAAGGGTTCTTGAGAGCAACAAGATTGACTACCCTAATCTGCAGTAAGGATGTGTGTGCTCAGTCATTCAGTAGAGTCCAACTCTTTGTGGCCTCATGGACTGTAGCCCACCATGGAATTCTCCAGGCAAGAATACTGGAGTGGGTTGCCATGCCCTTCTCCAGGAGATCTTCCTGACCCAGGGATCAAACCTATGTCTCTTACATCCCCCGCATTAGATGGGTGGGTTCTTTACCACTAGTGCCACCTGGGAAGCCTATATTAAGGATAATAATTCCATAACCCATATGCCACGACTCTCATTTTCACACCCACAGCAGACATGACTAATTGATCATGTGGGTTCTTTCTCTTGCCTGAAGCCTCTTCCCCACCAGGGTCCCCTGGGAGGAGGGGACACGGCCTGCACGAGCCTGACTCTGAGCTTCCTCCCTCAGCCCTGTACCTTTTCAAGATAATGAGGGCGTGCATCGTCCACGGCAGTAGGAGGAGGGCCTGATTAAGCTGCACGGCTTCCACTGTCCTCCGGGCCACCGTCTCCGGCTTCAGTGGGGGGAAGAGGTTGGGGAACCTGCATGCAGGAAGAGACAGTGTGAGTTTCTCCTAAAAAACAAGTGCTGCTGCTGAACCCCCTCCCTGCCCCCTGTCTCCATCTCTGTCTCTAACATGTCTGTCCATGGGATTCTCCAGGCAAGAACACTGGAGTGGGTGAACATGCCCTCCTCCAGGGGATCTTCCCAACCCAGGTCTCCTGCACTGCAGGCAGATTCTTTACCATCTGAGCCACCAGGGAAGCCCAAGAATACTGAAGTGGGTAACCTATCCCTTCTCGAGGGGATCATTCCCAACCCAGGAATCGAATCGGGGTCTCCTGCAGTGCAGGCAGATGCTTTACCAGTTGAGCTAACAGTGAAGCCACTTCTCTAACGTGTCAGGGTCATCCCTTTGGCTTCTCCTGTGTGGGGAGACTCGAGACCTGTTTGAAATACTCTCCCTGCTCCCCTGCTGCCCTAGATGCATCAGGAGTTCCTAATCCCCTCTCTCCTCCCAGCTGGTCTCCTCCTGCCCACCCATACCCCGGGACTGGTTCTCAGAGCATGGCAGAGAGTTCCCCAAAACCTCACCCACACCCTGTCACTGCCCTGCTCGAGCCCTCCCAGGGCCCCCCAAGCTGTCTTCAGCCCTACCCTCTCTGGGCCCACCTCTCCTCCTTCTCTGCCCAGCGATCCTGGCCAATCCTCTCTCTTAAGATCCTTCCCATCTCAGCCATCCCATCAGCGAGGCTCCCTCCTCTCGTCCACTCAGAGTGGCCTCTGATCTCGTCCCCCTAATAATTGCCTTGACTGAATGTACTCCATTGAGAATGGCCTGTCTTTCCTCCTCCACCCTTGAGTTCCCCAAGGGCAGAGGTCTGGGGGGTCTTGCTCCCTGCTATCTGCCCTGAGTGCAGTGTCGGGATATCGTAGGTACTTAATAAGTGTTTGCTGAATGGGTGGACACAATGACGTGGCATTGCCCGGCTGTGTCCTGTGCATCCTGTGCAGAGACAGGGGCTCTGCCCACTTGCTGGTTCCCTCCCTCAGCCCTTGACTCATGGATACACTCGCTGATTCATTCAAACATCTACAGAGAGGTCCCACGGGGTTGATAAATAAATGAACGGCTGAATAAGCAAGCATCAGGGGCTTCTTATGATTGTTCAAAAGCATAAGACCTGAGACCCCTAACAGTAGTGATGCTCCCTAAGCGCCAGACCTGTGCTGAGCGATCAACTGGCATTATTCACTCCAAATGACAGAAGAAAGCTGGGGCTCTGGTGAGCTGGTTAGGACCTGGAGAGTCAAACCAGGCCCCCAGAAACCCCAGGCCAGTGCCCTGCTTGCTGCTTGTCCCTTCTCTCCTGGGCCTAAAGGTGCAGGGCTGCTGGTGCTGCTGGCTCTGACCTCAGTCCCACAAAGCGTGCTGCTCCAGCACCAGGAGGACTGAGGGTGATAAGCCAACCTCTATCCATGTGGCCCTGGGCAAGTACCTTCGCTCCTCAGTCTCAGCTCCCCCATCTGGGAAATGGGCTTAAGAACTCTCACAAGCTTGCAGAGGGCCACATGTAGCAAGCAGCATTTGTAAAGTGTCTGGTGGCTCAAACACAGAAAAAAAATCAGTAAATAGCAATCTACAAACAGCAGCACTCACCTATATTGTCACTCTTTTTTTTTTTTTTCAAATACTTATTTATTGGGCTGTATCAGGTCGTAGTTGAGACCACATGGGATCTTCCATCTTTAGTTGCAGCATGTGTGATCTAGTTCCCTGACCAGGAATTAAGCCTGGGTCCCCTGCATTGGGAGTGCAGAGTCTTAGCCACTGGACCACCAGGGAAGTCGCTGTTATGGCTGCTCTTGCCAGAAAATCTATCAATTTTGTCCTAAGCACCTGTCTCCAACCCTCCACCCTGAGAAGTTGTTAAGCATGGTTGGAGAGAAAGCCAGTACTTTTTTTTTTCCTTTCAAGAAATAGGGCTTCCTTTGTGACTCAGACAGTAAAGAATCTGCCTGCAATGCAGAAGACCCAGGTTTGATCCCTGGGTCGGGGAGATCCCCTGGAGAAGGGAATGGCTACCTGCTCCAGTATTCTTGCCTGGAGAATTCCATGAACAGAAGAGCCTGGCAGTCTACAGTCCAAGGGGTTGCAAAGAATCAGACATGACTGAGCAACTAACCCACACACACCAGGTACAAATAGACTTTTACTGCTCTTCTCCTAAGCCCTCAGGGCTCACCGGCAGTCCACAGGTAACGAAGCTTCACCTAGTGTTTCTTACCTGCCAGCCAGCTAGTTGATTCACACATGGGAGCTCATCTAGCCTGCAAAGTCAGGATACCATCATCAATCCCTTCTCATGGACTAGGAAACCAAGGCACAGGAAAACTAAGTAACTTGCCAGAGGTCACACAAAGCTGGGGTTGCATGCTAAATCGCTTCAGTCATATCTGACTCTTTGCCTGCCAGGCTCCTCTGTCCATGGGATTTCTCAGGCAAGAATACTGGAGTGAGTTGCCATGCCCTCCTCCAGGGGATCCTCCCGACCCAGGGATCGAACCCACATTCCTTACATCTCCTGCATTGGCAGGCAGGTTCTTTACCACTAGCACCACCTGTCTCTGCAGTTTGGGCCCACACTCTGAACCACCAGAAAAATAACTTGAGAGAGGCCTTGGATTTCCTTCTTAAAGTGATGGAGAGGAAACCATGCCAGAAGGTGAAAGAGGCACAGGAATGCAAGGTCTGTGAAAGTCCTGCTCACTTCTGTGCCCAGTTAGAACCATGGATCGCTGTGGCTGCATTTCCATCCAGTATGCATTTATTGTTTCCCTGGCGGCTCAGCTGGTAAAGAATTTTCATGCAGTGTGGGAGACCTGGGTTCGATCCCTGGGTTGGGAAGATCCCCTGGAGAAGGGAACTGCTACCCACTCCAGTATCCTGGCCTGAAGAATTCCTTGGACTGTATAATCCATGGGGTCTCAAATGGTTGGACGTGACTGAATGACTTTCACTTTCACATATTTATTGAGCACTTCCTGTATGCCCAGATGAGAAGAAACTAAACCAAGACATTGTAAGGGGAAAAAACCAGTATGGAAGATTCATAGTCCTTATTCCAGCACCCTCTAAATTCAGAATCTATGATAATTTGCACATAAATCAGGTGGAAATTAGGCTTCTCTGGTAGCTCAGCTGGGAAAGAATCTGCCTGCAATGCAGGAGACCCTGGTTCAGTTCCTGGGTTGGGAATGATCCCCTGGAGAAGGGATAGTTTACCCACTTCAATATTCTTGGGCTTTCCTGGTGGCTCACATGGTAAAAAATCTGCCTGCAATGCAGGAGACCTGGGTTTGCTCCCTGGGTTGGGAGGATCCCCTGGAAGAAGGCATGGCAACCCACTCCAGTATTCTTGCCTGGGAAATCCCATGGACAGAGGAGCCCGGCAGGCTGCAGTCCATGGGGTTGCAGAGTCGGACACGACTGAGCAACTAAGCACAGCACAGCACATTACAACTAAAGTCTGCTAGAAAGATTAACAGCAGATGCACTTTTGAAGATGTTTATTGTTAGAAAAAATAATAATACTGAGCATCTTGTATGCCCCAGGCTTTGCACTAGATACATTACATGTGTTATTTCTAATTCTCCCAATAATCCGACAAGGTAAATATGATTTCCACTGTTTGACAGATAAGCAAAGTAAAGCTCAGACTGGTAACAAAACTGGTTCAAGGTTTCACCACCATACAGTAGCTGAAGTGAGATTCAGAATCAGGTTTTTCTTTTAACTTTTATTGAAGTATAGTTGATTTACAATGTTGTGTTAATTTCTCATATACAGCTAAGTGACTCATTTAGTTGTGTCCGACTCTTTGTGACCCCGTGGACTGTAGCCTGCCAGGCTCCTCTGTCCACGGAATTCTCCAGGCAAGAATATTGGAGTGGGTTGCCATTCCCTTCTCCAAGGGCCCTTCCCCACTCAGGGATCAAATCTGGGTCTCCTGTACTGCAAGCAGATTCCTTACTGTTTGAGCCATCAGAGAAACCCTAAGTGACTCAGTTATGCATATACATATACACACACATGTTCTTTATCATATTCTTTTCCATTGTGGCTTTTTATAGGATATCGAATATAGTTCCCTGTGCTATACGCTACATTAGTCACCCATTCTATATATAATAGTTTGCCTCTGCTGAGCCCAAACTCCTGCTTCTTCCCTCCCCTCCCCGCCGGCAACCACAAGTCTGTTCTGTTTGTCTCTGAGTCCGCAAAGCAAGGTGTTTTGATTCTTGCTTAGCAAAACCAACCCTAGTGATAATCACTAAGGTGTTCTGAGTGATTCCCATATGAATGTACTGTGCTACATGCCTTCCAGGATCTCATGCAGTCCTCACAATGACCCTTCCATGCTATCCTCATGTTTGGAAGAGGATGATGTATGTAATTTAGAAGGCAAAATTATCATTGTATGTTGCTTTGCAAAAAAAAGCAAGGAAAATAGTTTTTGGATGATTCCCCATTTTCATTTACCCATAACCTTGTGTCCCTTCACAAGGGTACATCAGTGTAGCACCATTTACTGGGCACTTACAATGTAGCACATAGGGTATTGTGTGCTAGACCCCATTTTATTCTTATCACAGACTCCTACTCCCATCATCCCATTCTACAGATTAATGAGAGGCTGGAGTAGGAACTAACCAGATCTAAGGTCACACACATCCTGGGGATCTGACTCCAAAGCACAAGCTCTAAACCAGTGGTTCCCGTTCCCCATTGATTTAATTGGTCTGGATATGGGGTGGTTGGGTTTCAGTATTTCTTTAAACTAAGCTATAATTTATATACAATAAAAGGCATAAATATTAAGTGTCCAGCATGATCAATTTTTACCTCTGTAACCCCCACTCAAATCAAGAAGAGAGAACATTATTAAAAGCCTAGAAGGTTCCCTGGTGCTCCCTGCCAGGCTGTGTCCCCACACCTCTAGGAGTGCACTGTTCTGATTTCCATCACATCTGCCCAGCTTTGCCTGCTCTAGAACTTCAGAAAAATGGACTCATGCAAAATGCACTCTTTTTTTTTTTTTCAAAATGCACTCTTGTGTCTCTGGTTTCTTTCATTCAACATAATGCTTTCGAGATTCATCCATATCGTTTGCATAATCAATACTTTGCGCCCTTTTTATAGGTGGGTGAGTATTCCATTGCATGCGTTTAGCGTGGGTACTCTGTGAGGCCCCTGACCTGAGAAGCAGGACCCTAAACCACTCTAGAACCCCACTGCTTTGCAGATGGAGACTCAGGTACTAGACCAAAAAGCCAGGGAAAAAGCACTTCTGGGTTATTTTAAAATTGGGTCTCTGTGTATAATGACTCCCGCCATCCAACGGGCTAGAGGGACTTGGCCCGGAGACGGGGTCCTCTGCCACTGACCTGACCCTCATGCCCTGGAACATCTCGGTGCTGGTGTGGAAGGGCAGCACGGTGGTGGCGCTGACGCCCGGACAGTCCAGCAGCCCCAGGGTCAGGCTCTCCATGAAGGCGAAGGCTGAGGCTTTGGATGTGCAGTAGTCGATGGCGCCGGGGATGGCGGAGAGCGCCAGCACGGAGTTCAGACACACGATGTGGCCGTTCTGCAGCTCCAGCATCCGCGGCAGGAAGGCCTTGGTGGTCTGAGGGTGGATGGGGAGATTAGTGTGCGGCAGCCACACCTTCCAACACCCCTCGACTTCCCCTCTTGGGGGGAACAGACCACCCTGGACACAGGCAATCCTCAGCCACTGGGTTTTCCTGTGACAGGGAGGTGAGGGGTGGAGGCTGAGGGCACTGAGCCTCACATTTCAGAAAGTCCAGATGACTCCTGGAGAGCCTGTCATTCTTCTTGTCCAGCCACCCTCTAGACCTAAGCCCAAGGCCTGGTGAGCCTCTCCCCACTCCCCTGTAGCTCCCAGCCTCCCTGGAAGGGAAGAACATGTCACTAACACACCCAGGGCCGGCTCTGGCTCACGACAACCTTACCCAGAACTGGCCCAGGGTGTTGATGTGCTGGGACTTCAGAAGGGCATCATCATCGCTGTCCATCAGGCTCTTCCCGTGGACCACGGCAGCGTTGTTCACCAGGATGGTGATGTCACCCACCTGTGGGCAAGAAGGGGCCACAGGGCCATTAGGGCAGCCAGCCCCAGTGGCCTATACCTGGAGAGGAGGGACCTGGCCCTGGGCAGCCACATTGCCTCTCTGAGCATCAGTCTTGATTTGTAAGATGGGGCTAATAACCATACCAGGGTTGCTCTGGGGATCAGAAATAATTTATTGCACATAATACACCTGTCACAGAGAACACCTATAATAAATGAGGTTATTGTGACATAAACATAGTTAACATTTGCTGTGTGCCAGATATCTAATGGGGTGGTTTCTGCTCTCTCGGATCTCACTGATACACTCAGTCTAAATAGATAGCTGGAGTCGGGGGGATTTTCCCAGACGGCCATAAGACATTTGCTCTTCCTCCCCACCACCCCGCCACCCAAGGGTTTAGGACAGATACTCACAGGCCTAAACTTCCAAAGGGGACAACAGGTGATTTAGTCAATCTGTGTCCCTAGTCCCTGCTCTCTGCAACACACACACACACACTTGGACCAGCTTCACAGGAGAGTCCTCCTAGATGCCCTGCACACAGCCATTCCACCATCAGCAAAGCTCTCTCCCAAGTCCCGTGAGACTGCCCCGTTTGGCTAGGATTCCGACGGACCTGAGGCCAGCTCCTCCCAGCAGCTCACCTTCTCCCGCACCGCCTTGGCCGTCTGGTACACCTCCTCCCGGTTGCCCACATCACAGATGAAGTAGTGGCACTCGGTGCCCATCTGCCGAATCTCCTCCGTCGTCTCCTTCAGGCATTTCTCAGTCCGGCCCCACAGAACAATCTGGAAGGAGAGGACAGTGTTGAACAGGTGGTCACTAAGGAAGCCATCATGATTCAACCATTGCCATCAGAAATTCAGTATGTAAAGTAATTTGCCCCATGACTGCCATGATTCCATTTGAAGAGAGTGTGCAAAGTCACAGTATGACTTTTTAAAGGGAGGTCACCTACTCAGAAGGAAACCAAGAGTTTCTGAGCCCATTGATGCCCCACCGATGGATGCATGGTCCACAACTCTTCCCTTTTTAAAATTTATTGTACTGTTGGCTGTGCTGGGTCTTCACTGCTGCATGCAGGCTTTCTCTAGTTGCGGTGAGCTCAGGCCACTCCTCATTGCAGTGTGGGGCTTCTCACTGCAGTGGCTTCTCTTGTTCCAAAGCATGGGCTCTCGGGTTCTTGGGCTTCTGCAGTTGCAGTACTTGGGCTTCAGTAGTTGTGGCAGAACTTCTGGGCTCTAGGGCACAGGATCAATAGTTGTGGCCCACAGGCTTAGATGGGGCTTCCATGGTGGCTCAGATGGTAAAGAATCTGTCTGCAGTGCAAGAGACTGAAGTTTGATCCCTGGGTCAGGAAGATCCTCTGGAAAAGAGAATGGAATGGCAAACCCACTCCAGTGTTCTCTACTGGAGAATCCTACAGAGGAGCCTGGCAGGCCATTGTCCACAGGGTCACAACGAGTTACACACGACTGAGCAACTAACACTTTCACTTTTCACTGGCTTAGTTGCTCTACAGCATGTGGGATCTTCCTGGACCAGGGATCGAACCCGTGTCCCCTGCATTGGCAGGCAGATTCTTAACCACTAGACCACCAGGGAAGTCCTTCACAAGGAACTTTCTTTCTTATGTATTCCTTCCAGGATGACATCTGCCAGCCCCATTCCAGTGATCCTATCCAGTTAAACGTAGCAGCAGGGTTCTTCCTGTACAATGTTCCAGAATGCTTTCAGTTAGGAGCAAGCTGGTCTTCTCACCTGAGGTCTAGAGCCTGGTGGGTGAATGGACTGCAAGGTTCTGGCCGTAAGGTGCCAGGAGACTAAGCAAAGCCTTCCCTTCTACCCAGCTGTGGTCCCAGGTGGAAAGAGTGTGGGGAAGACAGGCAGCCAAGAAAGAAACACGACCTCACCCCACAGGCAATAAACGTGGGACTCATTACGCCAGGAGATGACCCTGGCGGGACCAAGACATGAATTCTTAAAGGGAGTTGGACAAATTTATGAATGGCTGGCCATAAAAGGCTCAGAAGAAAGGGTGGGCTAATTCTCAACCTTGACCTACAGGAGAATGACACTCCTTCCCAAGACACGTCGTTGAGTCTGGAGAGGCGCCTGTTGGTAAAACAGGGCTGGATGACAGGGAACTAAGAATCCCAAGATCCAGCGTAATCAGCACAACGGCAGCAAGGCTGGGGGCTGGAGAGAATCAGAGAAAGGAAGAGATAAAAGGCTCCTTGGGGATTAATCTAATGGGTTTCTATTTTTGTTTCTTCTCTTTAAAATTATCAATGAAATTCCTCCTTTAAAAATAAAACCCAACACGGAAACCCCATGTGTGAAACCAGGAAAAGGAATAAATTACACGTCCAACTCCATGTTTTCTTACTTGAAAAAGCCACGCGTGAGAGCAAAAAGGCTGAGCTGGGAAGGTGAACATTTTCAAGTGGGTGATGGGTGTAACTTGAGTCACACCAGACCAGAATCTATTTGCTCTGCAACTCAGGACAGAGGAAAGTCACACAGACAAGTAGTTGTTGGTGATAACAGTTTATCAACTGTTTACCTTGAAATATCAGAACATTCACAATACCACACAGGGTGCAAAATGGCTGCAGCTGGTGGGATACACAGATGTGTTGATGGCTCCCACGGATTTGACTTTTTAATTAGAGTTTTTTTTAATTAATTTATTTATTTGGCTGTGCTGGGTCTTAGTTATGGCACTTGGGAACTTTAGTTGCAGCATGTGGGGTCTCTAGTTCCCTGCTCAGGGATCGAACACAGGCCCACTGCACTGGAAGCATGGAGTCTTAGCCACTGGACCACCAGGGAAGTCCCCTTTATTAAGAGTTTTTAAAACTTCTGAAATATTTCTTGAAGGAGAATAAGAGTGTTCTTTCTACTTCTGCAACATCTCTGGGAAAGCCCAATTTTAAGCCCCACCTTGTCCAACCACTTTATTTATTTTAATTGAAGTCTTGAAATACAGGAAGGGCTTTAAGAGGGAGAATTCCATCAGCCACCCTCCACGATGACAAAAGTCCTCCAATAGCAAATGTACTGCAATTAGACAGGCTCCAAGGGACATTTTCTTGTCTGTTGAACTAAAAACAGACTTCAAATATGTTTCTCCAGGAAAGGCTGGAGAGATTTCCTTCATGAAGAAGAAAGAGATAAACTGTTCAGGGTGTTCAGTCATCCTCCATCGTATCAGACCTCACCGCTGTCTTGTAGCCACTGTCATCCTAGTTTCCTCCCATCTTCCCTTGTTCCTCCATCCGTCTGTCCATCCATCCTTCCTCACATTCATCCACCCACTCATCCATCCATCCACCCACCCACCCATCCTTTCTTCTTTCTACTCACCCCACTCCACTCCACCCTACTCCACTCCATCCACCTAATTTCTGAACATGTCAGATTGAGGTGGAAGAAATCCTTGGCCTCCTTTCTTCTGCTCTGGTCCCTGCCTAACGCCGTCCCACCTCCAGATTTTCTGGGAACAGGACCCGGGGGCTTGAACAGTTCCCTAGTGTCTGGGCTGAGGACAAGAGCGGTACTTCTGGGACTCTGAGAGCAAGGAAGCTCAAAGCAGGGATGCGTACAGGTTAGAAGGTACAGGGGTCCAGATACCTGGGAGCACAAGGAAACCAACAGACAGAGAACCAGGGAGGCAGAACCGTCTGCATAGCTGGAAGGACACCCTAGAGAGGAAAACAGGGCTGGACTGAGGGAGGTGAAGCAGAGGCTGTGCCCCACTGTCTTCCCTGAGTGGTGGACACACCCAGGTGGGATGCTGAGGCTTGGCCATTTCCTTTCGGGGGTCTGCTGAGGATGCCCCTCGTGGGCTGGAGGACTGGCCTCCTCATGTTCAGAGCCCCCATCTCTGACAGAGAGCTGGGAAGGGTTTCTGTCCTCCTCACCCTATCCCTCTGAGCCAGGAGCTCTCTGAGGGCCTAGATTCTGCCTTGTTCATTTCATATCTCAGTGTCCGGCAATGCAAGTGCTGTTTGTTCAGCAAATGAATGAAAAGTTCAGGGCTGCAGGTAGGAAGGGTTGGGAGGTGGTTAAGTAGCCTCTCTGGGGCTGAAATGAGGTCAGCTCCCTTGATTGAGCTGTTTAGGGTCCCAGAAGCTTCTACCCACAGGCTACTTAGACCAAGAGTCAGTGAGACCTGGGGTTTCACTCAGAAGCTCAGAACCACCCTGGACTAAGCTGCGAGGTGAGGCCCAGGCCAGTGTGTTGCCCCTTGCTGCGTATCTCTCTGCACGTCTAATTCAGTGTCTCTCTCTGCATGGGTGGTTGTGTGTGCAGCCTCTGTACTGCTGGGTGCTTCCTTGGGCCCATGGTGGATGCTCAGAGTTCCTGGGAAGCCAGGGACTCTTTTTCTTTTGGGGGGACTCTTTTTTTTTACATATTGTTTTTTATTTATGAACAAATTAAAAGAAGTCCCAGATGGCAGCGGGGGCAGCTGGGTTGCTGTTGCTGCTGCTGCTGCTAAGTCACGTCAGTCGTGTCCGACTCTGTGCGACCCCAGAGACGGCAGCCCACCAGGCTCCCCCGTCCCTGGGATTCTCCAGGCAAGAACACTGGAGTGGGTTGTCATTTCCTTCTCCAATGCATGAAAGTGAAGTTGCTCAGTCGTGTCTGACTCTTAGCGACCCCATGGACTGCAGCCTACCAGGCTCCTCTGTCCATGGGATTTTCCAGACAAGAGTACTGGAGTGGGGTGCCATTGCCTTCTCTGGCTGAGTTGCTGACTTGCTTACAAAGGAAGTAGGTGGACAGGAATGGGTGCAACCAGACTCCAAGCCTAGAGACCCTTCTCTCCCACCCACCTTAGGGCCCTCTTGGCCTAAAATCATTGGTCCCAACCTTCTTTGACAGCAATTCTGCCCAGGGCAAGTTGCTGTGGTGGGGATAGTGTGGGGCAGGAAATCCCATCCCCAAAGGTAAGGCCAGGGCTGCAGAGGGCCCAGGGCAGAAAGAGAGCAAAGGGGACAGGGACCCTCCAAGCTGAATGATTGGTCAAGGTTTGATGGGTTGACCATCAACCCATCAGGCTGGGCATGTTCCCATCTTAGGACCCAGGCACGTCTCCATGGTGACGGGGAGGCCCGGGCTGGTCACCCTGATGGAGACTTCAAGTAACTGAGTGCACCTCAGTGGGCGCACTGCAGCTGCTGTCCCTCCTCCTCCTCCAGCCCCCTGCGGGGACCCCTCTGAGACCCCAGAGTCACTGACCAGGAACCTGGCAGGTACAGTTCAGTGGGTGGCCCAGGCGGCTCCTCACCAGAATCACTGGGGGTGACCCCAGACACTTAACAGGACAGGGGTCCCACCAGGTGCCCGAATAGGCTGAGGCCTGGGCAGGTAGGAGGTCTGAGAGGAGCGTGGGGTAAGCCTCCCCGGGGACGGACAGATTTATGAGCCAGGGGAACCCAACACGGCCTCCTCTTAATTAACTTCCAGGACAGAGAGCAGCTGGGGAGGGTCAGCAGCCCAGGATTTACTCCTAAGCCAGGTTTACAAAGAGCGAGCTCAGAGAGGCTCGACACCTTCTGGCCTCCCCTCCCCTTGGGGCAAAATGCTAGCTTCTGTCCCGGAGAGGAGGAGGGAAGCAGGGTGAAGACCTCTGGCCTTCCAGGCCTCGGGGTCCCGCCCTCTTCTCCCGCGGCACTGCCCTCACAGTGAGCCTGAAACCCCCCAGCAGCCCCCGAAGCTGACAGCTACCATGATCCATTTTTTATGGCCGAGAATACTGGCTCAAAGGCGCTAAGTTAGC